TCGAGTCTCACCAGGTCCAGAAAATCGGTTTTGTTTAAACCTTCCACTTACTCGTTTTTCTTCCACTATAAGCGGCAATACCACTATATCTACGTTTATTGGATGAGTTTTTTGAGATTTCACTTGTTTCTTGCAGTATTCTACATTTATAAGGGTATATTTGATGTTGCCGTTTTTTTGTTACTGTGCGAGGGTATGGGCTGTAAGTGAAATCGACATTTAAGGGTATTTTTGCAATTGACCCTGTTCATTGTTGGATGACAAGTATTCAATCCATAGTATCTCCCGTTCTACTGGATAACGGATTGCAGAACCCCCAATGAAGATTTTTCAACCTGTCGTTTTCATGATTGGTTTTTGCATCGGAAAAAAACAGGGCTTGGACTTTGTCAATGATTGAGAATCATTCTCCATCGATGCAAATACTCAGAAGTGCAGTCCAAGACTTTTCCCCTCCTCATGTAATCCGAAAGAAAAGTAGAGGAACACGTATCGATATTGCAAGTATATAAGTGATATAGTATCTTGTTAAGATCATCATCATCATCATCAATTCAATAGGAAAAAGTTTACATCTTTTGCAAAACCCACATGGGATCTTCTGCGTTCTTGAATGCCCTGATGGAGTTATCGGGAATTCTAAACGAATCCTGCAAACTGTTTCTGAAGAACAGGAAGCTGATGTTCTTCGTCATGGTACTCCCTCTCTTTCTGAATTCTGCAGTCTACTTGATCAACTTCTTCTCCATCAAAGCCGAGGTAACGAACCTGATTCTTGAATCTAGTTTGTTATCCACAACAGATCCAAACACCCTCGAATACTCGGCCCTTCTCATGCGTATCTTCTCGGACATACGCCTCTTTGTCGGATCTGCGTACATCTTCCTTGTCGTCCACTTCATCGTCTCCCTGTTCTTCAGCGTAGCCGTTGTCCGAGCATCTGCTCTTACGCATGCGGGAAAGAACGTCCAGTTCAGAACGTTCTTGGTCTTGACCGTGAAATCTTGGAAACAGCTTCTTGTAACATATTTTTACATAACCCTCTTCGTTCTCGGCTACTTATTCCTCTTCCTGATCACTCTTTTGCCCGTTCTGTTATTTTCTCCGGGCTTTTCTTATCTAAAAGCCCGAGGAATCGTCGTGTGGATCATATTTGCGGTATTCGAGTCTTACTTAGCTATCGTTTGGCAATTATCGGTGGTCATATCGATCCTCGAGGAAACCTACGGGATCCAAGCCCTGGGGAAAGCTGCTCGGATAGCCAAAGGGATGAAGCCGAGTCTGTTTCTTGTGAATCTTTCTGTCGGGATATTGTCTCTCGGGTTAGGGCAATGTATTAGGCTAAGTAACGGGACATATCCGTCCACGGGTAATGTTCTCATCGGTTTGGTCGTTGTGAACTCTCTCTTTCTGGTTAACATGTTCCGGCTCGTGGTTTACACTGTCTCCTATTTCCATTGTAAGAGCGTCCATGGAGAAGAGGTTGAGCTGCAGGGTTATGTGGAATATACCAAAATACCCTCGGAGTTGCTCGTTGGGAACAACGTCTGAAGGGTGAAATGGGAAGTTTCTTTGATTATACGGTCTTTTTGGGTTGATTTCCGTTCATATGCTTTGTAATTGTTATTTACCTTATTATATGTGTCATTTTTCTACCCGTTTGTTTAATAAGGTAATTAATGTTTGTTTATTACATCAATCATTTCAAATATTTACATTCGACGATGCGATCTATGATTGTTACTTTATATTACCATCGTAATTTGTTTAATGCAGCATTATCTTTGATGCCATGCGGATTGATGATACGTTTCCGACATGAATGAGGAACACAGAAAAAGGGCAAAAAAAAAAATGATGCGGAAATTGTCAAAAAAAGACAACGGCTGGTCAGAAAAGTCAAAAAATGAAATAAATATTAAAAAGCCGAAGCTTCCTTGCGTGACATGGATGGATCCAATTGTTAGATTAGATTCTATATATTCCAATTTTCTTTTTGTAAGTTAATCAAATTTAAATTTATCAGCTAGATTAATTTATATCTAAAATGTTGTATTTTGTATTTTCTCCTTCAAAACAAATAAGACGAATGGAAAAAGTTGCATTATTTATTAGTTTTTAAAGTTTTATTAAACAAGATCATAGTTTTACATAGCCAATCTAAACTTTGTGCGATCGTTCTTAATTGCATTCTTTGAAACATAGTTATACATAATATATATAAATAATATATATTACTATTTTTGCACAATAATTTTTTTTGTATATATATATATATATATATTTGATTTGGTAAACTAATGATGTCATATCATTTCGTACAAATTTTAGAAATTAACGATATGATGTTCTCAGCCGTCAATAGGTTATTGGGCTATATTTTTCATTATGCTACAATATGGATCGACACAAAATAAATGTAACGACATTCCACATGCGATTGTCTATGAAATGTAATGGCAAAATCATGAAGATGTCTTATGGCAAAATCATCAAGAACCCACTTTTGAATATCTTCCGACATGAAATGATGACAATGATAATAATAATAATGCCACGTATATCCGAATCATGAACGTATAACCAGGAACGTAAAAACCCTAGAGAGCCCGACACCTAAAAATGGAATTGCATGTTTTTAGTTACGCACGTCATGTTCCTGAACCCCCCGAAACACCGAACACCGGCCCATTTAAACAATTTAATTATGGTTATTGTCACATTTATTTTCCTATTATACGATTTGTAGGACCATATACTAAAGTTATTGATGCGAAAACTCATGCCTAGTCACGGTTAAAAGTTATATAAATTTTTATATGGGTACGTATAGTTATGATCAAACTCGATATATATGTTTGGTTATTACATTAGATGATAAACTTCGCATGACCTTATAACATAAGATTGTCTATGTCTCCATCATTTTATCCATTTATCTATAACCTAGATTTTAATTTTCTTTTTTTTTTCATATAAATACAAAGCAAAAGATGGAAAAAGATAAATATTCCTAAGCAGACAGCCATTCAAAGATAAGGAAGTGTGATTGTGATTTAAACACATTAAGCTGTTTCATACGCAACGGCTTCCTCAATATATTCTCCCAGCATCTTTTGAATACTCGAAATTCTATCCTATAGATTTGACACCAATGCCATGTCTCAAAATTAAAATTGGCTTGTGTCTTAAGATTAAAATTTCGTAAATTCATACCTCAAAACTTGTAAATATATGTAAAATTTAATTCCGTAATTTAAAACTAGTTCAATCGATCATCTCAAGACCATCAAATTGAGTTTATTATATATAGGGACTTTTTTGGTGTGGCTATTTCATATTAGGGTTTTAAATGTGGTTATATTTCATATTTCGACCAAGTTGATAAATATACCCCAAAATAACCCTTGTCGTGAAATCGAGTTGTCTATACATGAATTTCATAATTGAAAACAAAAATAGATTTGAGGGTATGTTCTCAAAGATCCATCACACGAAAACAATGAAATTCGGGTTTATGAAAAATTAATATTATTTGCAGGAAATTACAGCCAATTTTGACTAAAGCTTATTTGATTATCCCAAGATGTAAGCTTTTTTAATAGTAATATAAGAAGAAGAAGAAGACCGTAAGGAAATAAAGAGCAATGGGAACGTCGGTCCAACCAACCAACCCCATTATATAAAATGATACATATCCACGAAGGCATAAATTAAAAATGGAAAATAGAAAAAAAGTTAAATAGAACATGGATGGCCAAATCCAATGACTCCATTAGTGGGGGGATAAAGAAATTGAATGAATGTTTTTTTTTTCTAACGTCGTACCTATCCATTGGTCACATATATTAATTTACATCATTTGACGTGTTGGATCTCCTTCCTCACGTTACTTAAATCAATTCATTAAAATCATAAAAAAAATATATAATAAATAATCTTACACATTTGATGTGCTACGTCTACGATTGAAGAATTATCTATTAATTTCCATCGGTTATCAATCATTTTTTTTAACAAACTTCTGTTATACGGATAATTTCTTTTCATTTTTTAAATATTTTTTATATTTTATTAAAAAAAATAAAAAAGATGGTAATTGCGAATTAAGCATGTTTGATGGGACCCGCAATTTCAGCGCGTATCCATGCAAAGACTCGGCAAAGTTTTTAAGAAAAAATCCGGCGGCAATAATATTTTGTGTATATCTGATACCAAAAGAAACGATGATAAAGAACGTTATAATAACGTTTGTATTATATTATTAGTTAACAAAATCGGCCACATCGAGAAAATAGTAAATAATTATTACGAGTGACTAATAGATAAAGTGGGACCCATGAAAATCTTTCCGGACAACGTGGCTTATCAGTTCGGGTCCCACAAAGAGCAATGTTTTTCTGCATTTTGGATAACCATCTCCCTCCCTCTCTCTCCACATATATAAAGCCCTTATCTTGTCGTAGAAATTTGAAACACGTCTAAACGGTTGCGACACCTGGAAATTTCACGATCTAATACCATAGTTAGATCCAATAAATTTGGAAAATATTTTATTTTTGTATTATTCATGTTTATAGGACCATATAATAGTTCTTTGTAAAAAGTCTGATCTCTAATTCGATTAGAAATCGGAAATTTAAATTTTATTCGATAGTAATAATAGTAATAGAGCTTTTAAAATCATGTTAAATAAACAGATGATTTGAACTTGTAATTTTTTTCACGAACGTGTAACATATGAAAGGATTACGATAAAGATGAGTTCTCACTTCTCACAGTCAACTTTATTTTTTTTTTTAATTTTCGTTAACCAACAGTCATTTTTCGATAGGCATGGGGGACGAGCCGACGAGATCTCGACACGTGGCAGAATCTGGATGAACCTCGCATCCGAGTTGTACCACTGAAGGCCGAGGACTGACGTGTCGATATGTGATTGGATGGAATCGCTGCGGCCGATGGTGAAGGAAGAAATATTAAAAAAGCACATGCCCGTGACTTTTGCTGTTCCCTCCCACATGTTCCTCCCTAACACGCCACGTTTCTTCTACTTAATTGCCACGTGGCATTTCCTCCATCCATCCACCACCCGTTAAATATCTTCCCTTCCGAGAAAAAAAAAATTCAAATCTCGGGTTAGTATATAATCCGTGATTTTTATTACTAATTATAAAAAATAAATTTACTAAATCTGTTACGAATTCACAGGTTAACATATATCTTATAAATTGTGATTCAAGTCTGATTAGACAAATAAGGAGAATCTCAAAATTATAGTACCAGAAGCACCGAATCCACGTCAGTCGAATGAAAAAATTTTAATATTGATGGGAAATTGATCCCGGTGGATTACGATCGGTAAGAATATTAAGATATTTAATAAATATTAAATATTCGTTAATTTTCCCGTTTAGGTAAAAGAAGGATAATTAATAGGAGAAGTAACAGCTCAAAGCAACTAATTACGCTTGATCCTTGGATTTGGATGGGTCGGTTACAGTGCACGCACGCGCATCCAGCTTCACGTACACTGTCGATGGTCACGAACTCGTTTAAATACTGCTCTCTCTCTCTCTCTCTCTCTCTCTCTCTCTCTCTCTCTCTCTCTCTTTTGTTTAGTTCTTATCCTCACCGAATTTGCGTTTCTCTCTTAAATTCCACCATGGATGCTCTCTTCGTAACTAAGCGTTTTGTTTCCTCGGGATTCTTATGAACTTGCGAGGCCCAGGAGAAGGGTATCGATTACACCAAGAAAAGCTTTCTTCTTTCTCTCGATTTCCCGATTCGACTTCTGTTTTTTTTTTGTTTCCTTGATTTCGACGATACCCACTTCCTGAATTTTCTCTCTTTTCTCATCGACATCCGTTTCGATTCGTGATATGTTTCCGGGATCTTGGTTGGACCAGCTGAATCTGGTCTCCGCGGATGATTTTCGGATCATGGGTCGGATCCCCAAGGCCGTGACGAAGCTTCCCGGGTTCGATACCGACGGCGACGGCGGCAGCGATCCGAGCGGCGGCGCGTGCGTTTCGCAGCCGAAACGGATCATCGTCTCGAACCAGCTTCCCATTCGGGCCCACAGGGAGCCATTGACGGGGAAATGGAGCTTTGAATACGACAATGACAGCCTCTATCTGCAGCTCAAAGACGGGTTCCCTCCTGGGACGGAGTTCGTCTATGTCGGCTCGCTCAATGCCAACGTACGGACTTCCGAGCAAGAAGACGTGGCTCAGTTACTGTTGGAGAAGTTCCAATGTGTGCCCACGTTCTTGCCGGTGGACTTGCACAACAAGTATTACCATGGCTTCTGCAAGCACTATCTGTGGCCCGTGTTTCATTACATGCTTCCGATGACGCAGTCTCACGGTTCGCTCTTCGAACGCTCGCACTGGAGGGCGTACATGAGAGTCAACAAGATTTTCGCGGACAAGATCTTCGAAGTGATAAACCCAGAAGAGGATTACGTCTGGATTCACGATTACCACCTCATGGTCTTGCCAACGTTCTTGAGGAACAGGTTTCACAGGCTAAAGGTTGGGTTTTTCCTCCACAGTCCCTTCCCCTCGTCGGAGATTTACCGGACGCTTCCCGTCAGGGACGAGATTCTGAAGGGTTTCCTGAATTGTGACCTGATCGGATTCCACACTTTCGATTACGCCAGGCATTTCTTGTCTTGCTGCAGTAGGATGTTGGGCATCGACTATGAATCCAAAAGAGGGTACATTGGCGTGGAGTATTTCGGCCGGACGGTGAGTATCAAGATCTTGCCGGTTGGCATCCACATGGGGCAGATCGAATCTATAATGGCGTCTCGAGAATTGACGGATAAAGTGAAGGAACTGAGGCAGACATTCCAAGGTAAAACAGTCATGTTGGGTGTTGATGACTTGGATATGTTCAAGGGAATTAGCTTGAAGTTCATGGCGATGGGTCAGCTTCTGCAGCAGAACGAACAACTTCGTGAGAAAGTGGTTCTGGTTCAGATCACGAACCCGGCTCGGAGTACAGGTAAGGATGTTCGAGATGTAAGAAAGGAGATGAATTGGGTCGCCAACGAGATCAATGGTAAATTCAGGAAACCGGGTTATGAGCCGATCGTCTTTGTGAACGGACCTGTCAGTACATTGGAGAAAGTTGCTTACTACGCAGTGGCCGAATGTGTTGTGGTGAATGCTGTGAGGGATGGTATGAACTTGGTTCCGTACAAATATACTGTGACCAGACAGGGGAGCCCTGTTCTGGATGAAGCCTTAGGTTATGATGACTCAGATGATGTCAGAAATGGTGAATGCTGTGAGGGATGGTATGAACTTGGTTCCGTACAAATATACTGTGACCAGACAGGGGAGCCCTGTTCTGGATGAAGCCTTAGGTTATGATGACTCAGCTGATGTCAGCAAGAGTGTGATCATAGTTTCTGAGTTCATTGGCTGTTCTCCGTCTCTGAGCGGAGCAATCCGTGTTAATCCATGGAATGTCGAGGCCGTGGCCGATGCTATGAGTTCGGCTGTCACAATGTCGGAAGCAGAGAAACAGCTTCGCCACCAGAAGCATTACAAATACATTAGCTCCCACGACGTGGCCTACTGGGCACGGAGTTTCGATCAAGATCTTCAAAGGGCATGCAAAGATCATTACAACAAGAGATTCTGGGGAGTTGGGTTCGGGTTAGGGTTCAGAGTTGTTGCCTTAGATCCGTATTTCAGAAAACTTTCAGTCGAAGCTATCACTGCTGCTTACAAGAGGACGAGCAGCCGGTTGATCCTCTTGGACTATGACGGGACAGTGATGCCACAGGCTTGTGTGGATAAACGGCCGAGCAATGATCTGATCTCGCTTCTGAATCGCCTGTGTGATGACCCTTGTAATGTAGTCTTTGTCGTGAGCGGTCGAGGTAAGGACCCTCTGAGTAAATGGTTCGGTTCTTGTGAGAATCTCGGTATTTCAGCTGAACACGGTTATTTCATTAGGTACTATAACCATTCCTCTTCCTTTATTACAGCAATATCTTCATCACCTTCTTCGCTGTAACTAAGCTCGTATCCTTGTCCCGATGATCGTTGTCCTGCAGATGGAATTCTAGTTCCGAATGGAAGACATGTGGGTTACGGGTGGATTTAAGCTGGAAGAAGATGGCTTTACCAGTGATGAACCATTACAAAGAAGCAACAGATGGATCATTCATAGAGGAGAAAGAGAGTGCAATGGTCTGGCATCACCAAGAAGCTGACCCGTCTTTCGGCTCTTCCCAAGCTAAAGAGCTTCTGGATCATCTAGAGGGTGTGCTGGCCAATGAGCCTGTCGTGGTCAAGCGAGGTCAACACATCGTAGAAGTTAAACCTCAGGTATGTGAGAGTTTTCGAGATCTAATATACAAGAGTTTCAAGGGAATCTGCATCATGGAACACATGCGAAAATTCGGTTTTTTCAGGGGGTGAGCAAAGGGAAGGTGGTGGAGAATCTGATAGGGAATATGAGGAACAGCAAAGGCATGAGACCGGACTTTCTGTTATGTATCGGGGATGATCGGTCTGACGAAGACATGTTCGAGAGCATAGTGAATCACCTAGATGTTCCATCCATTGCCGAGGTTTTCGCCTGCACGGTGGGTCAGAAGCCAAGCAAGGCCAAGTACTATCTCGACGATACATCAGATGTCATCAAGCTGCTTCTATGGTTGGCCGATAGTTCAGGGGAACCGCAACAGAAGCTGACGTTTCCACAGCCGACAGGACAATGCCGGACCGAAATCTTGGATCTTTGATGGGTTTTGATTAGATCTGTCCGTTGTGGGGATGGAACCGAGGGTTTAGGGTTTGGAGCTTGTTTAGGGTTTTAGGTCTCCAAAAAAAGGGTTTTTTTATGTACAGTGGTTGCTGCTTGAAAACTCGTGAATCAGCTTCTTACTTTTGTCACACACATGCCGGAAATTCTTATACACAGGAAATAGATTTCTTCGGATTCAATCCAAATTCAACTTCTGATTCTTACATGAGTTTCCATCTTTGATCATGGTCCATTCTTGTCAAAGTGGTAAAACTCGATGTTCTTGTACTTCTGGGAGATTATCTCGGCTTGAACCTTTCTTGCAGTATCAGTCGCACATCCGACAAGGATCAGGACAGAAGTGCCTGCAAATCCTCTGAATGCTGTCAGGTGCGTGATTTGTTCGACCACGGCTGGCCCACCTGCCAATACGGCCAGAAACGCTGAACCGAGAACCGATATCCGACTAAGGACCTGATCACAAGTTCGATTAGACGGTTAAAGCAAAAACCCTAAACGGATTTCGCCGAGAGTAATCGGAAAATGGAAGTTTGGAGAAGGAATCTTACAGTCTTGATGAAGAATGCAGTGCTTTTACCAGGACGGACGAGCGGAATCGATGCGCCTTGACGCTTTAACTGTTCGCTCACATCATCCGGGTCAAGTTGTAGGAAAGTGTAGTAGTAATTGAAAAAAGCTATGAGAAGAATGTTCGTCGGAAGGTAGAAAGATCCTACAAGGTGTTTTTCACGTCGAAGTCTCGAGTTATTATCATTTTCAAGAATGTTTCATGGAACCGATCGGACGACTTACCTCCCGGGTTTAATGCCAAAGCAGCCTTCTTTAAAGCAGCTATGCCGGTGAAACGAGCTAGGGTTCCAGGAAGTGCCAACGACGACGTGGAAAATATGATCGGCATTACTCCTGCACTATTAACCTGTGACGACAAAGAAAAAGATGATGGTATTTTTCATATGAACTTGTCAGGCATTCCAAAAGTCTCAATCTTTTCAGCACGGTATGAAAGACTTTCTATAGAAAACGATATTAGTACCGAAAATTTGCTTCAAGAACGGAACGGGGGCAGACCTTAAATGGAAGATAAGCAGATTTCTGAAGTCCACCGGCCTTGCTGGTGTATCTCGATGCGTAATTGAGCGGGATTTTCCTCTCTGCTTCCTGGAAAGCCTTTCGTTTAGATATTTGTACTGTTTCTTCGATTCTTTTGAGTTAATAAGCGTTTGAAAAAAAAAAGAGGGAAATACCTACCTGGACGTATACAATCCCGAGAACGAGCAGCAAAAATGAAACGATGATAGTGGCGAGACCGGCATAATTTCCATCCTGTAAGGCCTGTGAAGCTGTTCTACCGAACGATGCAGGCAAGTAAGAGATGATACTTGTGAATATCAAGAGGGAAGTGCCATTTCCGAGCTTTAGATCAGAGATTCTCTCCCCGATATATGTAGTCAGAACAGAGCCTAACGTCAACAGTGTAACAGAGGAGATAACCCATTCCGTGCTGAAGTCGTTAACATATGGACGAAGGTAAAGCACTTGACCAATCGCCTGTACTAACCGAAATTGTATAAACCGATAAAACAAGAACTCAAAACCATAATATTCATCTCGAAACTACTGTTATTGTTACCTGCGCAATTGCAAATCCAACTGAAGCATATCTAGTGTACTGAAGAATCTTTTTCCTCCCGGCTTCGCCTTCTCTTTTCTGAAGATCTTGCAACTTCGGATAGATTTGCGCAAGAAGCTGAAAGACAATCTGGGCGTTGATGAATGGGACAATACCGAGGGAGCATATACCTAATCTACCAATGCCTCCACCGGAAAATGAATCTAAGGTGCTCAATAAGCTATTCTGATCCAAATTTCCGACGAAAGCTTCACGGTTCACCCCGCCTAGAGGTACGTATATTCCAAGCCGAGAGAGAGCTAAATACCCCAGAAGTTTCAGAAACTTCCCCGGCAATGGCCCTTTGAAGAAATCTCCGAAATCGATGGAACTGTCCTCAATTGCAGCTGATGAATTCAAAGAGTGCCATCGTCAACGGCTTTAAAGAACATAAAGTTTTCGCCTTTCTAATGAAATCTAAAGAATGTACACCATAAGTAGACCTGCTACCCCTCGAGCAGAGAGCGTCTTCTCCTTCTTTGCACCGGAGGAGCTCTCGAGAGCTGGCAATAAAAGGTTGAGAAGTCCTTCCCAAATGCTGCTAAGACCGGAGGGTTCATCTGGATTGATGCCCAATGGATCAAAAACCGAACCCTCAAAGCTGAACAATAACTCCAATCCGTAAGAATGTTACAAAACCACAACATTTCTCAAAGAAATTCAATCGGAAAAAGAAATCAGATGCGTGTGTGTATCTAACATAGAAATCAGATGGTGGAATCATTCTCCCCGACAAAACCCACACATTCATTTGAAAAGTTAGGAACTTGGAAATCACATTACCTATGACCTCATCAGACAAACACAGAACGCGGCAGGAAATACAGAGCAGCCACACAGAGTTCATGCCAAAGATTGAAAATTGAACCGAACCCATCTGATATAAGGCAGAAATTTCAAAAGGGCCAGCAAGAACACACCTTTTAGAACTGGTGACGAGACCGAAATTCCATGATTTGCTGCTGCAGCTGTTCCTTGTCCTTGTCGGAACAGAAAAGCTTGCTCTGCATAGAGAGGTTCGGAGTCTCGAAGACGATTTGTTCTGGAGACGAGACAGAGCTGCGAGGTTGAAGCAAAGTGGAGAAGAAGACGAAGAAGAAACTTCGCTTACCGTTATCATCATTATCCTTCTTCTCCTCCTCCAGACGTCCGATTCGTTTGCCTTTTTCCTTTTTTTCCCTTCATATTTTTGTATTTTCTGTTAATGGGCTCTTGAAAAATGGTTAAGGCCCATTAGTTTTTGGCCCAATAGTTTGTAGTTGATGGTAGGGTAATCTCTTGGGCTTGGCCTCTATTGAAAATTTTCATCTTTGGATGATTTATATATATATATATATATCATCAACGTGCTGCTAGACAAGAAAAATTCTTTTCAAACTAAAAAAAGATAAAGATGTTTATAACATTAGTGCAATAAATATTCTTCTCTATTTGGAATATGAAATTTGACGGGTCAAATATATATATACTAAAGTAGTCTACGAAGTGACTTCGTTCGGATTTTCGTGGATTTTAAAATCGTTAGATCTTTAATATTTGGTTGGGCATTCGGTCGGACATGCAACGTTAGAGTTTTCCGTAAATTTTTCTTCAATTTAATGACGGTTAGACGGAATAAATGAATTTGGAAACATATACATATATACATGTATATGTATATGTATATGTATATGTATATGTATATGTATATGTATATGTATATGTATATGTATATGTATATGTATATGTATATGTATATGTATATGTATATGTATATGTATATGTATATGTATATGTATATGTATATGTATATGTATATGTATATGTATATGTATATGTATATGTATATGTATATGTATATGTATATGTATATGTATATGTATATGTATATGTATATGTATATGTATATGTATATGTATATGTATA